AAAACCCCCCCCTTTTTTTTTTTTTTTTTTTTTTCTTCTTCTTCTTCTTCTTCATTGGTTAGAAAAGCTAAGTTTCATTGGTTAGAAAAGCTAAGTTAAATGAGGTAAAGTGAGAATGGTGGTATGAGATCCTGGACAAAACATTCTTTATAAGGTTGTGGAAATCTCCCTCTAGCAGACTGTTTTTAATAACCGTGAGGCTGATAGCGATGGCCAAAGCGGACAATACCTGCTAGCAATGAATTTGGGTTGTTACAAGTATGATTTATAATCTGTTCTAAGAAATGATCAGATTTTTCATTGCTTACTATACCCTTCCTCGTCTCTAGATGGTCGATTGTTGCTGTTGGCTATTTATGTCTGGCCACTTCTTACTCGACCCTTTCGCTCCCTAAGATACAAGATCCTTAAATTGATGCAGTGACCAAGATTTATTAGCTGTACGTGACATAATGACGAGTTTGGCCACACCAAAAAAATGAGATTCTCTCTTCATATCTCATATTAAGAAGAGGAAGTTGACTTTTGTGTATTAAAATATAGAATAGGAAACCTAATTAGATACAATATTGTCAACTAAGATTTTAATATGTGAAACCTAATTCAGACCTAAAGGTGTGGACAGCAAATTTTATTTATTTATTTGCTGTTTGAAAAATAAAATCTAGAAAAAAAAAGTAGAAATATTTGGTCTAGGTTTTGTGTGTGTGTGTGTGTCAACGCTTTCATTGCTCATCTTCCATGTGCTTTTAAAACTTTATTTTAAATTTTAACCTATGGTTTTAATTCATTCACTTGTCAACCAAATATGGAGTAGGTCAACAATTTCACCTAATCCCCCCCCCCCCCAGAAATATCTTATGGTATTTAATGATTAAATTTAATTGAAAAATTTTAAATTTTAGTAAATAATTGAGAGAAAAATATATGGGTTACGACCTTTATAAGAATAAAATTCATAATTTATAGTTTTATTTACTATATTATATATATATATATATATATATATATATATATATAAATAAATAAAAAAGAAAAAGAAAAAGTGGGAGTTGACTTTAGGAAGGCAATTTGTTTAATGTCCAATGTTTTTTTTGTGGAAAAGTTTATTGTTTTTTTGTGCTTTGTTGGGATCCACCCACTACTACCACCACCACCAAGCCTCTACTTTCCAAATACATTTTTCCAAATTTCTTCCCAAATTTTATTACTATTTAAAAAAAATACTAATTTTTTTTTTTAATTTATGTTTTTCAATTTTATACTGGTAAAATTATAATTCAATTACAATTTTTTTAATTATAAAAAATATGTGGGTAAGCATTTGAAAATACATTAATGAGCTATCGAGAACTATTTTTAATAAATCTTTTTATAATTATTTATTAAAAGAATTTAAACTCGCTATAAAACTAATTTACCACTTATGAGTTAAAATATTTAATTTAATTATCTAAAATTTTACAATTTGAAATTTGACTTTTTGTTTATTCCTTATAAGGCAATAATGATAATAATAATAATTATACCTCTTTGAGTTGACTAAAATTCCATTGACTTTCTCCTCCTTTTCTTCCTCTTTATAAAACTCTCCGCCCTCTCCTTCGTCCATCCTAACCTCTCTCTCTCTCTCTCTCTCTCTCTCTCTTTAAGCTTCTCTCTGAGATTCCGGTCATCTTCTAATCCATGGCGGTGGATCTGGCAGTGTTTCCGGCGAAGATGGAGGATCATACGGCGATTCTAGAAGCCTCCTCCGCCGGTTTACAGAGCATGGAGCATCTAATCCGCCTCTTATCCAAACAGCCCTCTCAAACCCCTAATTGCTCTGAAATCGCCGATTTCACCGTCTCCAAATTCAAGCGCCTAATTTCCCTCTTGAACAGAACCGGCCACGCTAGATTCCGTCGCGGACCCTCCGATTCCCCAAATCCCCTCCCTAATTCCCCCAATCCAACCTCCAAAATCGATTGCCCTAACCCTAATTTCACCCCTGTCGCCAAATCCCCTGATTCTAGGGCTCCGACTGACTCCACCACGACCTCGTCTTTTGTCTCCACTATCACCGGCGACGGCAGCGTTTCACTCTTTGCGACTCCGGCAATCTCCTCCGGTAAGCCGCCGCTGTCGGTGAAGAGGAAGTCCGATGACATATCTCGATTTGGCTGCAAGACTCCTTCTAAGCCCTGTCACTGTGCGAAGCGAAGGTACCGATTAGGGATTCTTGATTTTCAATTCCTCGTCGTATGAATTCAATTTTTCTTAATTCGATTGATTTTTCCAGGAAATCTGGAGGGAAAAAAACGGTACGAGTCCCGGCGATCAGTTCTAAAATCGCCGACATACCTCCCGATGAATACTCTTGGAGAAAGTACGGCCAAAAGCCCATTAAAGGCTCCCCCTATCCTAGGTAATTCGTCAATTTTTAATATTTTATTTTATTTTATTTTTATTAATTTTCAATATTAATATCTTTCTAAAATTTATTAAAATTAAATTTATAATTTTAAGAAAATAATAATTAATTATGTTAATGTTTGATTTGGCAGAGGGTATTATAGATGCAGCACCGTCAAAGGTTGTCCGGCGAGGAAAAAGGTGGAAAGAGTTCGTGACGAACCGACCATGCTCCTCGTAACATACGACGGGGATCACCGTCACCCGCAGCCTCCGGTGACCCATCTTAACGTGGGTGTCGTTTCCCAGAAATCTTGAAAAGAGAAACGTGGCGGGGAATCAACGCTACCTATTCGGCTGTGACGGTGTTTCTTAAAGATACCTGTGACTCTAGTGTTGTCTCCGAGTATTATTAAAAAGTCAAATACTTTTGTAAAGTCAAAACTAGCCTCGGAGTACACGAAGCGATCGGGTTTGTTGAAGTCAAACCAAAATACAATCACGTTCGAATCTCTCGAGATGGAACCCGGAAAGAAACAACGTGGTGGTGGAAGGGTATTGATGTAATTTTGATATCATTTTTTTTTATTTGAAAGTAGTTTGACCATAAATATGGGTCCCACAAGATTGGACTTTTACTTTATTTTTTTATTTAATAATAAAAAAAGTTATACATGGTCGGAAATTTAAAAATTATTATTTTTATTTTTCATCATTCAATTATCATATTTTTCACCGTTCATACGATCATATGATTTGAATAACTCGATTGACTCAGCTCAATCTTATTATACTCTTTAAATTATTATTAACATTAAGAATACTTATGAAAAAAATGTCCATAATACTATGTGACTTATGAATTTTCAGTAAAATTTTATGAAATTTTAATTTACTATATGGTAAAATAAATAAATATATATATATATATCACAAGCTCGGAGTCGATCTGAGTATAGTTTAGTAAAAAAAGATATCGATTCTCAACTGGTTCATATCCCGTCTTTTAAAATTTGAAATAAATAAATAAATAATAATAATAATCATAAAAGCCCGTTAACCATGGCATTGTTGGGCTTTAGGAGTTTATTGGGCCCATTTAAGGTTTAGACTGGCCCAACAATTCCAGTTAGGGCTTTAAAAAGTGGCCCTTAATAATTTGGGCTATTATTATGATTCTTTTTTTCGTTTAAAAAGAATAAATAAAATAAAATACAAAATTAAAAAAAAAAGGCTAGTTTAAGGAAAGGACAATAATATCCATTCCAAATGAGCCGACAAAAGTTAATGACATTTGATTAGTTCCATTAATTTTTCTTAATTCCATTAATTAAATAAAAAGTCTTTAAACAACAAATGATTAATAAAACATTACCCGCCAAAATTTGAAATTTAAATTAAAAAAACACCCACAATAATTACTCATAATGTTTTTTTTTTTAAAAAAAAAAAACCCTTATCTCTTTTATTTACTGTTCATGATTATAATTATTTTTTTAGGGTTTTAATAATTTCTGTAGAAGTTAAATAAATCTGAAAAAATAAGTCTATATTTTCATTAAAAAATTCCACAAAAAATTAATTAATTAATTAAACGGGGAGAGATTTTAATGAAGAAAAAAATATTTTATTTATTTATTTATGTATTATTATTATTATAATTATTTTAATTTAGAAATAGACAAGTTTCATAGGATGCTTTAAGGGTCTCCTTCACCTCTCCCACTTGGATGTGTTTTTTTTTCCTCTCATATAATTTAATTTAATTTATTTGTCTTTGAATAACATTGGATTCTCATATTTGAAAAAGACTTGAAAGACAACATTTTTTTTATCATCTCTTACTAATTAAATTTGGCGACACATTAAGTTCTATCCTTTCAAATGTTCGATGTTTTAATTTGATTGTTCTAAACTTTCTAGTCGTAATATGTTTCAGACAAAGATCTTCGAACATAGATTTAGTGTTATAACAAAGAAAAAACATCCATCCTACTAATGATTCTGTAATAATCCAAGCTCACTGTTAGCGGATATTGTCCATTTTAGCCTTCTACGTATCACCGTCACCCTCATGGTTTTAAAACACATTTTCTAGGGAGAGGTTTCCACACTCTTATACGAAATGTTTCGTTCTCCTCTCTAACCATTGTAGTATCTCTAGGGAGAGATTTTCACACACTTATAAGAAATGCTTCGTTCTCCTCTCCAAAACGTGAGATCTCACAGATTCAGACATCATTTGACAGCTATTCGATCAAAAACAGCGTCGAACTGTCATTCGGGTTTCTTCTCTATTAAGAAAACATAGCAAACAAAACCGAACAAATATCATTTTAGAGTTTCATATAGGGTTATAACAAAAGAAGAAGGCTCACATGGAGCATGTTATGCAAGCAGCTTTTGTCTTGAAACTGTTAGGTTAATGATTAGATTAAGTATGAAGTGGATGATGATCTTAAGCAATCCCTTTTGTAATTAAGAAACAAATTAAGTACACATGAATGAAGTTGGTTGTTTAAGACATTGCAGACAAGAACATCATGAGCTGTTCTTCCAATCATTGGGCCCCAATTGAGTTAATGAACAAGATTAAAGCAGTGATTAAGTTAATCAAAGTTTTAAACTGTTAGGGTTTATGGGTCACAGAACAAACATCCTATAGAGTTCAAAAGGGAATCACCAGCTTTTGAAGTGGACAAAAATCTTAACTTTTTAGAGATAAAATGGAAGAAAAAAGAAGTATAATGCAGACAAGGAGATGAACAAGCTTCATTTACTGTTTGTCAGTCAGTTTAAAGGCTGCTCTTTGGCTTTTTCCCTTCCATTGTCACCCTTTCTCTCTCCCGATCCATCACCGATCAACTCAAAAACTTGACCTGATTTTTTCTCTTAGACGATATCTAAGTCACTGTTAAGCGAGAAACTTACTTAAACTACGATGTTCTTTAGTTGTGATTGGGTATGTCCGTCGGGTGGAACAGGGATAGAGAAGCCTTCCTTGTTCCCGTCTCTATTCTCGCGAAATTCTCCATTTGAGGAATTTACAAAGATCGGGTTCTCTACGGAGAATTTTTTCTTGTGTTCTTTAATCTTTTCTTTTACTTGATTTGACCTACATTCATCGAATAACCTAACTATGTATGCTCCTCTGTAATTGTGAGATCCCACATTGGTTGAGGAGAAAAACGAAACATTCTTTGGAAGGGTGTGGAAACCTTTCCTTAGTAGACGTGTTTGAAAAACTTTAAGAGGAAGCTCGAAAGGAAAAGTCCAAAGAGAACAATATACCAGTGGTGGACTTGGATTGTAACAAATGGTATTAGAGGTAGACACTGGGCGATGTGCCAGCGAGGAGGCTAAGCCCTAAAGAAGGGGTGGACACGAGGTGGTGTGCTAGCAAGGACGCTGGTCCCTCCTACCTCTCCCGTATACGTGTTTTAAAAATCTTGAGGGAAAGTCCAAAAAGGGTAATATATGCTACAGTGGACTTGAGCTGTTACAAATGATATCAGAGCAAAACACTAGGCGATGACCAACGGAGAAGCTAAGCCCTGAAAGGGGGTGAACACGAGGAGGTGTGCCAGCAAAGACGCTGGACCCCCCTACCTCTATAAGCGTTTTAAAAACCTCGAGGGAAAGCTCAACTAGAACAATACGTGCTAGCAGTAGGTTTGAGCTGTTACAGTAACTTATGGAGTACATTCTCACTCAATAATCAATTTGCGATTGGTGCATCTTCTAGCACCGTTGGACGAATTGTGATCGTCAAAGTTACATTATGTTAGATAATATCGTCTCGTGCAGTTGTACCTTAATTCAGTTGTATAACTCGAACGATTAAGACATTATTACCCTCGCTCGAACCCAAACAAAGGGTCAAACCTTCTCCTCAAGCCCCACCTCATTTGTTGAACCAAAAAAAAACACTCCCTTCTCACCCCACCGAATAATCGTCCCCACCCACGTTCTCTTTTTTCCTCTCTTCACACCCTCTCTCTCTCATATATCTCTCTCTCATCATCACCATTTCAATTGCCCAACACCACGCCCTTCTCTCTCTCCCTCTCTCTCTCTCTCTCTCTCTCCGCCGCTTTAGCCATTAAAACTTGGATCACAGGCCACCGCCGGAGCTGCTGCATAATGGGTATGGAGGTTTTGGAGGAATTCCGGCCACTCACACCATTAAGATCACTATCGCTTCAACTCCCCAAAGAAAAAGCAGACCACAATATTCAAGAACAAGAAGACTGCCAGACTCCGACAGCCGCCGCCACCCGCCTGAAGCCGACCATGGTGTGTCCGCCGGCGCCCAAGAAACCTCGCCCTCCTCGAAGAAAATTGAACTTTCTGCCGCCGCCGTTCTTCGAAGCTCCCCAAGATCTCAGCTCTGTGTATATTGAGCTTCAAATTCCTTCCAAGAAGATCAAACCCATCACTACATGATCTTTCTATTACTAATTATTGTTTCATTTCGCCTTCTAATTTGTTCAAATCTTTTTTATTGATTAACATGCCTGTGTGTATAACTCCAAAATTCAAGAAACAATTTTTTTTTTGTTGATGATTTGATATTATCAGCTTCAAATTTATTGTCAATTGAACTATAAATTTAAATTAGGCATTGATTTGGTAAAATTGGATGTTTTTATGAAAAGGGTAGATCCATTTTTTCATTGACATCAACGGAGGAGAGAGAGAGGAAGAGAGAGAGAGAAGAAAAGGTATGTTGAAGAAGGTGGAAGGTGTGTATGATGAGCATGTGAGGTTAAGTACTGTTCTTCTCTGTCAAATTGACAAACATTTGAAAGCAATAGAAGATGATCTGTAATGCTATGATAAAGATTTGTCTTTTTGGTATTAATCAAAAGAATAGTGAGGTGTAAAGGCAATACACAAATTTAGGTAATATTCATTTCACTTGTTATTTTACAACTTCAAACCTATACTTATAAACCCTACATATGGCCAAATCAATGAAAAACTAAACATGAAAAGTCCGAATTACCCTTGTGTAGAACAGAGAAATGGTAAGATTGTATTAAAAAAAAAAAAAGAACGTTTAGTCCACTGACCGCTTGCAACGCTTGCAATATTGTCCGCTTCAAAATATAGATTAAGATACTTCTAATAAGTTGTAATAGCCCAAGTCCACCGCGAGAAGCACCGCGAGAAGGTATTATCCGCTTTAATCCATTACATATCGCTAACGCATCTACTAGGGAGAGATTTCCACGCTCTTATAAGAAATAGTTCATTCCCCTCTCCATTTCACACCAGTATAAGGAATATTTCATTCTCTTATCCAATCGATTGAGATCTCACAACCCACCTTGGGGGTCAGGGTCTTCATTGACACACCGCTCAGTGCTTGACTCTAATACTACTATAACAATCCAATCCCACTACTACAAATATTTTTTGCTTTGACCCATTAAGTATCACCGTCAACCTTATAATTTTAAAACGCGTCTATTAAGGAGAGGTTTTACACTCCTATAAAGAATGTTTTGTTCCCTTATCTAACCGACGTGGACTTTCACGTAAACAATATAATAGATATGAATAAGACAGCTTTTGGAATTTGGCTGTAAAATTGACAAATCTGTACATGTAAAAACCAGAGGGTATTTCTAATAATTT